TAAAATGTATAAATTATAAATAAATTCTTATATTTCTTTACATTTGTAAAAATTGAAAAGATCCAAAAAAATTTCTTGGTTATATTACTAAAGACACCAAAAACAATAAAATATGACTTCAAATTTTTAGTATAGCGTAAATAATTCTTAAATGTTAAAATTAGTTTTTTTTTAATGCACTAATAATTTAATCTCATCTTATAAATTCTATTAAAAGTGAATAAAATTTAACATGAATATCACTAAAATTAATTAGAAGCATTCATAATCAAATTTTAAAATTTTTAAACTAAATATTTAAGAATAATAGAATATCAAAATTAATTTTATTATATAGTTTTAAGACTTTAACAATAATATTTTTCTAAAACTTAGTTAAGAGAATCATATTATTATTTTAGGAACCAATTAGAAATTTAGGATTTTAAAGGTAAAGGCATAAATCAATTTTGATAGGATAGAGTTGCAGGTGAATTAAAAATTTAGAATTAAGGTTAGAGTACATGATTAAAATGCAAAAATAATTTAGAAAATATGGAGATGTTCTATTTTTATTTTTTAATTAAGTTAATGGAGTTATTATCTTTTAAAATAAGAAAAAAAAATTTAAAATACTACAAAAAATATATTATATTATTTAATTAATTTATCTTGTAATCGGATTTTATTTTGTAATCAGGCAATTCGAGCAGTTTGAAGATAAAATCACAAACAAGCCAATTATATCGGTTTTAAAATTTTATAATTCAAACCAACCTAAATTTATATCAGTTTGGATCATTTTTTAATTGGATTTGATCAGTTTAGGTCGGATCAATCAGATTGGATATGATATGAACACTCCAGATAAGAGCAATTTAAATTTTTAAGGTAATGATCAACTTTTTGATCTCGTATGTATGAGAACAAAGTGTGAATTAAAGCTTGGAATTTATGTCCAATGACTTAAGGGAATAACAAGTTTTGCATATGGTGAATTAAGACTATACGGCTGATAATCCCTCATGTTTGAGATCGCTCTCCATTAAGACTATACGGCTGATAATTCCTCATGTTTCAATTCGTTCTCCAACTTGTGCGATAAGGGGCTGGCTATGCTCAGACTAACACAGTTTCAAAGGATGTAAAGGTATCAACGTTGTTAATAAAATTGCATGCCAGTGATCAGTTGTACTGTTTAATGTATTGTTATTGCATTAGAAAGTAGGATACTACATTAATTTTGTTATTGCTAGCAGAAATTAGAAATTAACATGATGATAAAACATTTTATGTTTGTTCTTCCTTTTGCACCTTCATTGCTTATCTCAGATCAAAATCCTGCAATAAAGCTCGTTTAGTAAGGGAGATGTTATATTTATTTAAACTCCTCTGATTTGTTTCTAATAACAGGATGAAGATACCAAAAAGGTCCAGACAGTCAGAACAATTAAAAGAAAAAAGGGTGTTCGCAAAATGTGGATTTCTGTTAAAAGAAAAAATGCAGTAAAAGTGAAAAAGGTGTTGGTGGACTCATCTAAACTATCTCATTTTGTTGGGCAGCCAGTTTTGTAATTGCTTAAAAGAAAAAAATAAGTTTTTATTTTAGAATAGTAAAGTAACTCCAAACCAGGGCCCTTCAGTCATGTCTTGGATGCCCAATTCTTTTATGTGAACAGTTAACTCTAGGCAATCAAAGGAAAATTCAGAATTCAGGAAAGTTGGATATGTAGTTTGGTATATGTGCAACTTATTGGTCCATTTGATTGCAGAGAGATCAAATATTTATTTACCAGGTGTTTGAACATGAATATCAAAGAAAAATTGCTTGTTTGGTATCAAGACTATCCTTGTAAAGCATTGAAATCCTAGGAATACGATTAAGAGAGAGAATGGAGTATCCAAGTCGAGTTTTATATTGTGGAAATGAAACCAATTGCTTGTAGGGCCAGTTAACATCTGATTTGTGTGTTTGTTCATAAGAATGCTTTTCATGTTGAGATTACTAATCTAGGGGAGAGGTTTTTTTTCTTTTTTTTCTTTTTTTTCTTTTTGGTATATTGGATAATGATGGATTATACAAGAGGAGTATAGCCCACCTCTTTTCCTAAATCCCTCTTCTTCCAACTTAAGGTTTGAATTTGAGATTTTCAACTTGAAATTTTAAGTTCTTAACCTTTGAACTACCCTCTTGAGGGTATAAATATGAATTGTTCTTAAGAATGGGACAAGTAGTGCTAGATGCTATGAATACCAAATAAAAAGATTATTAACGTATAAGATTATGAATAATAAGATTATTAATATGAGAGATTGGTATTTCATAGTTCATCTTGCACAAGTTGCAAACATTTTAAACCTCAATTTCATGATTAACAAGATTAATTACTAATACCCTATATAAATTCCACTAATCATGAGACTAGGGTATTTGCAATTCTCACAAGACAAACTACAAAATCCTTTTGTAATATATATTAACATATTTAACATGAACCAAACATAACTTATTTAGTAGCATTCTAACTAACAACTAAATACAAATCAAAGAGTTTAGAGGAGTCCATGAACCAATGGTTTTCTTCCCCAAGTAAAGCCAAGCTTAGTGTGTAAGTAAAAGAACGCAAAGGTATCAAGTTTTGGAGTTCTCTAATGTCATTGATTGTGAGGGTCTTGAGATCATAAGAAATAAGATGGTGACACATCCCTTCCCCATTGTGATTAGTAACACAACTTGGTCATTCATCCCCATCCATAAAAGCCCTTGGCAATGGCCAAGTTGGAGGCCAACTTCGGTTGTCAGTTGCTTACTCCAAGCAGAATTCTCCAGCATATCGTCCATATCTAAAACCAAGCAATACCTTTGTTGAAATATTCCTTGGAATGGCAATGCACCGAGATGGATATTTTCCCCTTCCCCCATGCCATGGAGAACTTTACAAAAACCCTCTTCTTCTTCTCCTGAACAATCTGGTAATGCAGTCTCTTTAAAGCTCTCCTCGATGAAATCAATCAGGAAGATCAAATTTTGGACATTATTATCTTCTGTTATATTTACAAACCAATAAAATGCTCCTTAGTAAACTAATGAATACTTGACAAAAAGGTAGCATGACCCTATAGGATAAGTAGAATTATTAACAACTTTCCATGAATTTTTATCTGTGAGTAAACTTGAACTTATGTCAATCTTTTAGAAATAGATTCATTGAGATTTCTCACCACTTTGAAATCATTGGTGGAGGAATCATAACCAAAACCAACATCAACATCACATTGGGAGCCAAGGTAGATATTTCCAAGAGGAGGCTTGGGGAGAAACCTGAGTCTTTTGATGGAAGAGTTTAGAATAGGCTAATCAAGCAAATTACCCCCTAAACATGCCAAGAGGTGGTAAAAAAAGCCCTTCAACTGAAATCACTAGCACATGACCCCTTAAACTCGTGAACGGTGGCAAATCAACCATTGTTTAACATTAATGTCAGTATTCCGTTAAAACTAACCATTTTTTTTTTTTTTTTTTGGTTAAATTGGATTCCACTTGGATGCTATGTCGCCCGTTGAAGTCTAAGATGACTTCTCATGTTAAATCATTAATAGTTTCAAATTTTTTTAATAATTTATTAAAATTCAATTATTGTACATTTTTATATATTAAAATTTAATTATTTGCAATGGAAATCAATATGATTTATTAAATCTCAATTGTCACTTTGTTAAGTAAACAAAAAAAAAAATCCCACTGATTGCAGGACACTTTTACGACTAAATAACATCCTTTTATACTTATGAAAATTTTCTTAATTTAGAAATTTTGAGAAATTAATTGTAAATTTAAAATTTAGCAAAAATTTTTTTGAAGGAACAGAAATTGAGAACTACAAAATTACATGAACTAATTTTTTATATAAATTAATTATTAAAATGTATATTAATTACACTTAGGTTACTTGAATGTATTTGTCTTTTGGTTTTTTGTCGCTTATTTTTTTAAACAATTTTTTAATTTGTCTTCTAAGAATATAAGTCAAAAATATATTTACTTTTTACTATAATTTATATAAAAAATAAAATTTATTTTAATTTTATCAATTATTAAATTTAATTATTTTATGTGACATTGATATTAAAAATAAATTTTATTTTCTTAATTTTTCATATAAATTAATAATAAATATATATAATAAATATATTTTTAATTTGTACATTAAAAATACAAATTAAAAAACTAAGTTAAAAAGCATTTATTTAATTTACTTTATTAATTTCATGTTTAGAAAAATGTTAAAAAGTCAAGAGAGAGAGAGAGAAGCCTACATCAAGTCCAGCTCGACAGTGGACCCTACAAAAACATGAACCCAGTTAAGTTTGGACGGAATGATGACATTAGCCGTCGGAGAAGGGCCGATTTGCCACCGTTGACGAGTTTAAGGGGTTATTTGCTACTGTTTTCAGTTTAGGGGCTTTTTTACCACCTTTCAACAAGTTTGGCGGGTAATTTGCATGATTTGCCTTTAGAACAAATAAACTGTGACAATCATACAATTACATCAAAAAAAAAAAAAAAAACTGTGACAATCATACAAAACTAGTAGCAGGACATACAGCTATCAACAATTTTAAACAACCACCAACCATACAGGGACGAGGGTTCAATATCTCTACATCTGAGATTAATCCAAGCCGCAGAGATCTTTTGCATTTGATCTGAAGGAGAAACTTCTTATTTGTTTGATTGACATGGTGGAGGTGGTCGAGGAAGAATTGAGAACTAACGATAACCTAAGACCACAACTTCTACAGGCACGTGAATCGGACAAGCGAGTCTGCAGGCAATCTGGTGAATATGTCAACAATCAATTCATCTGGTAGCATCTTGTTTTCATGAGGTATGTAGGGAAGAAGAAAACAGAAATGATAATGAAATGCCCAAAAATGATAATGAAAAGACTTAAATATCTTAACAAATCAAAACAAAAATGAAAAAATATTTAAATAATTTCAGAGACAACCCTAATATTTTAAATGACAGGATTCTGATTTTTTACTTTTCTCTATATTTTGTAATAGTAAATCCAGCATAGCATGCTTTATTTTTTAAATGTACAGGTAGCATGCTTTTTCCTTTAAATGTTACTTATTTGTTTCATTAAGGTCCTAAAATAATCAAACTCAGATTTGGATACTGTTTTTCTAATAAAACACATTCTATTCCGACCAAAACAGTCATACTCTATCACTGAGATGCTTTCAGCACAAGGGTAAAAAAGGAGTCATCAAAATAAATAAACTGAATTAAACAGGACAAATAGTGTCTCATGAAAACCAAAAACAAATTGAGAAATATTATAACAACCATGTCAAACATCATACCATTAAGAGGTCCTCAAAGCACTAGTTTTCTTCCCCAAGTAAGGCCAGGCTCGGTGTATAGGTAAAAGCACGGGGTCTCTGCTCCTCAACTTCATGGTCAGTCAACTCCAACGTCTTAAGGTCACAAGAAAGAATATGGCCAACATTAGAATATGTTGACAGTAGCATAACTTCATCATTCATCGCCAAGCATCCAGGTACATAAAGCTGACTCACGTTGACAACAAATTGTCTAACCCAACCAGAATCCTCCATCATCCACATCTCCAATGAATCACCCGCAGAAGAATCTTCATCTAAATGAAGCAGCAAGGATAGTTTTCCCTTGACTTCCCCCAACCTAACAAATTCGCCTAGATCTTCATTGAAACAATCTGGCATCTTAATCTCTTCAAATGTTTCATCAGTGAAATCAAACATCAAGATCGACAAACAATCACTGACGACAGAGTTTACTAACCAATAAAAAGCTCCATTAACAACTACTTGAGGCTCATATATATTGTATAAAGAGTTGGGAACATTACTGAGAACATTCCATGAATTTTTTCTTAGCGAGTAAACTTGAACTTGTCTCCATCTTCCTGTAAATATTTCTTGAAAAATGATCACAATCTTAAAATCACTTGTGCGGGAATCAAAACCAAACCCAATTTTAGTTGAAATGTATGTTCCATCTACGGACCTATAAAGACCGTTAGAGGGATACAAGGAATACTCCAAATTGGGAAAAAGAACAAGCTTTAACTTTTTAATTGAAGGGTTTAGAATACCTATATAGTGAATGGATTGAGGAGAAGTTGTCAAACACAGAACCCCATTGCAGGAACCGACCATTTCCCACCGCCAAT